CGACCGATCTTGGACGTAACGCCGGCGGATTTGATGTAGGGATCAATTCCGCGTCTCTTCGAAGAAAATATTAAATTTTGCAAAATGATCGATTCTTTAAATCGATATTATTAAACGAGATTATATCTTAGGAGGATTACTTCTTGGATAAAGTCTCTGATAGATAAAATGAGAGACCATGTAGATTTCAAAGACATATATTCCATTCGGTATACGTATTTTTCTTTATTAAATCTGCTTACTTTTATGTATAAGAATTTTACAATTCATTATCCATATATGATATTCATGCATCCATGCATGCATGCATGCATGCATTAATATTCGTGTTTCTTACTCGCAATTGTTCTTTCTACTTATCGTTCGTTCTTACTTTTGTGAGCCCTACTGTTTTGAGCATTTTAAATCCGCGACTTGGTTCTCATTATCTTGAAATGTTCTAAATTCGTGTAATGACTTCTTCACAGTTTTAATCGTCTATTCATTATAGATATATCTTCCAATTTCATGTATTTTTTTAATTTCGTGTATCATATATTACAAATGAATTAAAAAATTCACGTTTCTTATATACTTTTATCATTCGAATCTATTGATTAAAATGATAGATTAAAATGATAGATTAATGATAGATTAAATTGATAGATTAATGTATCTCCGTATGATTAAATCATCGTTGCCGCAGTCACGTGTGTCGATAAATTATATAAAATTTATAAAAACAGATAAGAAAATTGTGTCATAAGAAAAATTGTGGAAATTATGAAAGACAAATGATCGCAGACGCTAATGACGGAATCTGAAGCGGATTCACGCTTTTCAACAAATACATATCTTGTATATCTCTGTATATCTTGTATTATCTCTAGCTTATTGCGCTATTTTCAGTGTCGAGACGCGCGTACAGTGGCGCAAATCTCGAAAAAAATCTTGCTTATTGTATGTAAATCCTTTTTTAAAAAAAGCGTATTTCTCTTTTCCTATAAAGTTGCAGCTTTGAAAAGAAATAAAAGATAAATGCAAATCAAAGTCCGATCTAAAGCTCTGATCATTGAAACTAATTTGTAATCTCTAGAGAGGAATATGAGATCTCTTATAGAGCCACTCACAGTAACTGGTCTGTAAAGATGTATGTATGTTCATTAGCTGCTTCCAGAAAATTATTAAATAAAATTAAATGAAGTTTAATTGAACTTCCATTTGATTAATTCGAATTAAAATACTCGCGTGGATTATTACTCCACTATGATATGCTTTTCTGAAAGGTGAAATGTCAAATGTACTGAACACACGTGACGATAATCGGAATAAGGAAACGCTATCAATTCCTAATAGTTCCGATCTGTAAAAATTTCCATCGAGCAGCGATGAAAATAATATATAATGCTTAAATTTACATCACCTGATGCAGTCTACGTGATAAATAGGCTAAGCAGACTAACACATTTATTTTCCAACATTTATTTCCAGCAGGTTTGTAAATTATGATCATCCGGCGCGATTGCAGGCAAATTGTGTCACCAGACAATTTTCCATTTTCCGTAAACACAAGAATCTTCGACACATTGCGCACAATGTTGTTTATGCGCCGTTTCAAATGATATGTCCGGCTATAAATCGGCTAGTGAAGTAAAAAGATCGTTTAAGATTTATCAGTGTGAGTCGCGCTTCGTAGATTATCGCAGCGTCTATTAGTCCTCAATACTAAGACGCATAATACGTGTTACATAAATTTTTTTATCATGTAAGATATACGTCATTGCAATATCTTTAAATGCCTTTCGCTTATGCAAATAATATTATCTTATAAAATATCACGATTTTCAGTGTGTGAATGCCCAGGCATTACGTTCTCATTCTCATTTTTCATCCGAAGAATTTTTCACTGATTTAGAAGCAGTGGATATTTAAGGCAGCGAAATATAGTATAATGGAGAACGATCGCACATGTAAGTTATGGCTAGATAAGACCGCTAACGGCATGCCCACGTGCTTGTCGATAAATTAATATTGTCACGAAATCGTCGATAATCGAGCTTGTAGCGCGTGCCTATCTTCTTCTCGGAGGAATCTTTTTCTCGTCAAACCATGATAAGGACTTGAGCGAAGACTTAGAATGTTGCCAAGATTTTATTTACCGTTTTATGGAAACAACCTATCAGGCTTTTGTTAAGACGTGGCGTGATCGTGTAAGCAATTTAAGGAAATCCTGGTGATACGGAATATTGATATTTACCACATTGTCTGCCAGAATCAACAGTTTTGTAATCAAACTGATAATGCAACTTTTTTTTGCGTAAAACAATTTGCTCCGTATTTGTGGAATTTCGTATGTTTGGTATAGCTTTGATAATGATATATACTAAAAATAGTCGATCTTCTTATATGCGTGATCATAATTCATATTTGTTTCATCGTGAATGAATGTCACAACCTAACGTGTTCCATATTAATCTTTGCAATTGCAATGCATCCTGTTTTATTCAACTTTATCAAACTTCTATATTTTATTATCCTCAATCAAAATAAAATCTCATCTAAGAATTTAAAATTAGCAATTAGAATTTAAAAAATGAAATTAATTTATAATCTGCTTATACATTAACAAATGTTAATGTATACAATGATGTCTTCTTATCCAAAATTTCATAATTTTCATTCTTATCGTATATCAATTGACTGAAAATGGCTTACTATTATATAATAACTCGTAATAATAATAATAATATATAATATATAATATATAATAATTCGTATAATATAATAATTCGTAATAATAAGTTGACAATTTAATTGATTTTTATTTAAATATTTCAAAACAAAAGTTGCTTGTCTCTAAAAAGAAAAAAAGATATATTGCAGGGTAAATAATTCTTATTTATTATGTTTCTATGGCCTATGTTTCAAATTCTGATTCTTCGACCAGTTCTTTCAACTTACAATTGCAAGGCTTACCAGAGATACGACGCTCGTTTTTCTACTTCTAGTTCGCTAGCTTACCACTGACGTCAGGTAACCCTAGACCCCGGGACATGCGGCTCGCGAGCGCACAGTCGTGCCTCTCTCATTGTTCATTACAATTACGAGTGACGTCACGGGTGCAAACAATGTCATTCCGCTTCGCACGCCTTCGCATTCTGCCCATCCCTCTCTTTCTTCCCTGAGCATGATCTCTCGCTCGTCCTCCCCGCCGTTTCTGTCATTTGCGCGTTCGCGAGGCACGCGAATCCGCGCGCCTACGCGTCTCTTTTTAAATTCATACCGTTCCCGATATAGGACATTTTGCAATTTTACTCTGTGTGCGTGTTCCTTGCTTTATTTTCTAATCTTTTTCCTCAATTATATCCCAATTATATCCAAAATCATATATCTTTCTACAACGTATAATTTTCTAAATCACACAAATCTGTTGCACACGATTTTTGCAAGTATATTTTCCAGAGAGGAAATAATATTTCTTAGAAAATAATATTTCCAACTTGGTTTTGAAATTACATGTTTTTAAGACGTTACTATTAAACAAATTTTTAATACTGTTATTCTCTCATTTTTATATTTGATATCAATCAATAGTAAATAACAACAATTATTTTAAAGACAAAGATTAAAGCTTAATCCGAAGATAGACAAAAAGAAATATTTATTTCGTAAAATTTTAGCTAAATCTTTTTCTTGATACGAATAGAAGCGGCGAACTTTCACATCGATTTAATGCATATATAAATAAATAAATGGATCTTGTGTTATGTTTTAATCATAAAATGTATAAAGAAATATTCACTTTACCACAACGATCCAACTTGAAGAAACAAACTAACTACAAATTTATACTTTAGTGTTTACTAATACTTTGCAATCGTTATAACAGATATAGATTTGACAAATTTATTTTTTTTATATTATACGAAGAGTAAAATAATTATTAACTTGATAATTTTTCAATATTATCATTGCTAATTAAATTTTCTATGTATCTAATAAAATTTTCTGCTCTCTCGTGATGTCCATGATATTACATTGCAATAAAGTTTATGATAACTATGAATTATTTTAAAATCAATTTTGAAAGACATAAATACTTTTACACCTGGCAAAATTAAGGATGTAGTCATCTCTATTCCAACAATAATATAATAGCTGCCTGATAAGAGAAATGGTGGCGAATGACGTACCTCACTATGACGTGGATTCTCTGACGCGGTCAATTAACTGGACATGTCGCAAAATGCAAATGTGCAACTGGAAGAATTATAACAATAATAGTCTTTAAACAGAAATAGTGTGCAGTGCTATTATAAAACGTTCATACGATTTGCTATTTGATCAATATGTGATTTACCTCTTAATCTTCATGCCAATAACTGCAATTTGCACAAGAGACATTCAAACACAATTATTTTGTATTACGCTGTTCAATCTTCAAAAGATAGCTTAATAAATCAATGATGTAACCGCATCAAATTTGCATTCCTGACCGATAATTCCCATTATACACATTATATACATTATTTAGAGACCCTTAATTTTAATGTAATCAATTCCTGCAATTCAGACAATTTCTTTTTTCATCCTTATATCATAATTAGAATTAAAGAAAAATTAAAATAAGCCTTTCAATTTCGTATCTTTGTTAAATAAAATTTTGCAAAAATGACACCTGCAAATTTCTCAATATCTCGAATCTCATCGAACGATCCCCCCCTCGATCTTACCGATGCCGATCTCACGCCCTGCGGCTTCCTATCGCGAAGGATCGAAGAAAGCTCTCGTTGAGGCGCGCGCGTCTGGCTGCCGCTTCCTCTGCGTTGCGTTGATTGAAATGCGACAGCGCATAGATGGGGGCTGATGACGAGGATGATGACGATGATGAGACGACGGTGACTCTCACTTGGGTGGACCACCTCGGGTGACCGGGACTCGCCGCCTTTGTCTTCCTTCGCGAACCGTACGTACACACAAGAGCGCCCAAGGCGTCACTGTATAAGCCCCCGATCAGCGATCGCTCGTAAGCACGCAAGCACGCACGTATGTTACAACGTACGTTCATGTAGCGAGAGACACAAACGCACGCACGCACGCACGCACGCACGCACGCACGCACGCATGCACGCACACGTACGCTCACTTAACGCGGCACTCGGAAGTTCGGTGGAAGCCACGAACACTCTTCAGCGAATCAATCGAATCACTGCACCGCCCAGCATCCGGTCACCTCCGTTCTGCCATGACGACGTATACGTGTGTATTACGCACGCTTTGTTACGAAATAACACGATTTCACGACGCTCGTCTTGAGCCGACACTGTGAGTTACCTCATCATCCCCCGCGCGCGCACCATCGAGGAGATGCTCAAGGAGGGAAAAGCTCCGGAGGAGAATATCTCCGGATAGATCGAAGTCTCCCTGATGTTTCTTCAAGGAAATTCAAGGGGTTTCTATCCCTCGAAATTCTTTATCTCTCTATCGATGATTTTTACAACTTCTTCTTTACCCCCTTTTACCCATACTTCGTTTTCTCTCTAGCGATATTTTCTTCAACTCCGATTCCCTTTTTTCAATTCTCGTTTCTTTTTCTGTCTTACCCTTTTACTTCCTCTCGACTTATCCCCCTCTCTTTCGGCCTGTCCTCCTCTTTTTCGATCACGTTTCTGTCTGTCTCACACTCTGGTGAGGAGTGCACAACTACCTAATGCCAGAAGGAGCAAGTAGCCTCCATCGCGAACTAGAACTGAGGCTATCGTGTAGATGCAAGGGGGGTCCCGTACGTTATACCGTCCTCGTATCTATCATTTCGAGGCTCCCCTCGAGGTCCCCCCTCTGCCGCCCCCGCGGATCCGATCGCTCGATCTCCCTCGATCGATCATATGAGCCTCTCGAGTCCTCTCGCTCCCGCGCGACCGACCCCCCTTCCCGATCTCTTCCACTTCCCAACAACGATCCTCCGAGACCGCTCTCCCCTGGCTCCCGCCATCCTAACCGAGGTGGCCCTCTCGGTAACGCGACACACAGGCGGCTATCTCGACTATTAATATATAAAATGGGGTTCCTCGACACTCGCCGCCCGGTAATTGTGCCCGCGCGGCCAGCACAGCGCGGTGCTCTCTCGCCGATTTAGATTTCCACACCGGCCTAAACCCTTTCTCGCCATCTCTTTCTCTCTCTCTCTC